GAATCAGCGAGGCTCGAACAGTTCCCAGGGGTTCGACACTCAGGTTCGTCTGCACTCATTTCCTCGTCTCGTAAATCACATTCACCTCCCAGGATCCACATATTCTCGCTATTTTCCTCTCGTGTATATTTTTTTATGAACTATTTGTAATGTTTTATCTCAAGAGTTTCTTTGTGAATATTATTAATAAGAGGATTTATGAGTACAAGCTTATGAGGTCTTGGTTAGATCCTTTGTCCGACTCATTGTTTACCATTGTTTGTATACCTGCACACACTATCTATCTATCTATCTATCTATATCTATCTATCTGTCTATCTATGTCTGTCTGTCTGTCTATAATGTTTTGCATAGCGAATTTCTCTATATGATATACGAGTAAATCCCAAATATGATGAATGTTATCAGGAAAACTAATATGCCTTCGTGTTTACATGGGTAAGTAAAATAGTCGTCCTGGATACATCAAGTAAAGATAACATTTGCATCTGGGGACATTACGACACAGTGTAGGCTTGTAGCAACAGTCGTGAACACTCTTAAGATAACTTTCTCGTCATCAATTGAAGATAACATATTGGGAACTTTAAGAATTAGTTCAGTTATGGAGCTTTTCTTTGCCGATAAATTTAAGCCATAGGTTATTAGTTACTTGTTTTATATTAAGATTTTATAGGTTTATTTTAAAGGTAATGGATGAAAAGTTTTGAGAACCCAAGCTGTGTGCTGTGTGAGTGTGGGCGTGTATAGTCACTCGCTCGCTCACCCGGCAGCAGTGTACGCCACAACTCATGCTGAAGTTGAGACCACTTCCTCGCTGCTCTATATTTATGGGGCTTTAAGAAATGTCTCTCATGTTGGTCTTATGGTAAATATTTCTCGTATGCAAATTATCTGCATTAATCTTGCAGGGCGTGTTTAACTTAACCCGGAATTACCCATATGTTTACGGTCAGGTTAGGTTAGGTTAGGTTAGGTTAGGCTAGCATCTATTGGTTGAGCTGTGTGATTGATAGAGATCGTAAAAGAAGATTGAAATACTTGAAGTAGAAGCCAAGTTGTTGACATTATAGGTGAACTGGTGGGAGCAGTGTTGAATGATAAGAATCTTCTAAAGGAATTTTGTAAACGAAGACCTAAGAAACGAAACGGTCAGAGAGCCAGGAGGCAGTCAACACATACGACTCAGAAAGACCGCACAAAGACCTCACACTAAGACCCCACACCAAGACCCCACACCAAGATCCCACACCAAGACCTCACAGACATCACAGTAAGACCTCACATCAAGACCTCACAAAGACCTCACAAATACCTCAGAAATACCTCACACTAAGACCCCACACCAAGACCTTACAGTAATACCTAACATCAAGACCTCACACTAAGACCTTACATTGTGAGCTCACACCAAAACGTCACACTAAGACCGCATACTAAGACCTCACACCATAAACCTCTCACCAAAACCACACACCAAGACCTCAACAAGACTCAAGACAGATTTTACACCGACCTCAATATTTTTTTTGTGCAGCACCAGCGCAAAGGTTCGTGGTTGAAGGCAAAAGCTGCAGTGTGAAGGAACGAATACTATAAATGGAAGAAGATAATACTAACAGACGAAGAAAGTGAGAAGGAAAACAAGACGATTAAACCAGATCATCACACCTTTCCTATACTCTAGCAGTCACTGAAAGGATCGATCATTCTGCTTCTGTCAAGTTCGTAAAAGATTAAAACAATATACTGGCCAACAAACACCACTCTTATACTTAGTTATAACCTAACCAAACCTAACCTAACCTAACCTAACCTAACCTAGCCATAATATTAAAAAAAAAAAATAATACCTCAAAAGTTGAAATTGAAATTATTTATACGTGTAACTAAGTATCATATATTTATAAATCAATTTGTGTATTTATTTGAACATTTAATAAGTAAATCTGAATGCATGTTTGTCTGGCTATACCAATTACTCCTTTCTCTAACATTTCAACATATTCGTGAAATTTACCTCAGATAAATTTTTGTGTTATGGGGAAAAAATATGTCCAGGTTTATCAGTGGTGGTGATGGATTGGTGTGTGTGTGTGTGTGTGTGTGTGTGTGTGTGTGTGGATGACAGGACTTTACAGACGTTTACACTTGTCGGCAAGTTGTGGTCCATTACACACACACACACACACACACACACACACACAACGAGACTAAGGAAGAGGATTATCGCTGGCAGTGGGCGACTTACAGCCTTAACAACCCTCACAATCGTTATGGGGCGATAAACAACTGCTCGTTAAGGAGGCAGAACGAGGTGGAGAGAATATAGAAATGGCTAGTAATTACCTCACTAATAGCTGCTTCGCTGCTTCCGGAGTGAACAGAAATCTTCATTATATTTCGCAGTTAAAACCACAACTAGCAATTGTTTCAGGAGACTCCACAAGGCAGTCGTATAATATTTGGAATTAAGATAAAAACAAAAATAATCTATGTTATTATTCCTATGATGTAAATGAATGATTGTCAACGATAGATAATAATAGATCACTAAATACATCATCATCATCATTGTTTTCATCATCATAATCATCATCGTCATCATCATAATCATCATCATCGTCATCATCATTGTTTTCATCATCATAATCATCATCATTATCAAAATCATCATCATCGTCATCATCATCGTCATCATCATCGTCATCGTCATCATAATGAAGTTCTCATTACATAAATCTATTTATCTATTTCTCAACATAAGACTTCATTATGTATCATATTGCTTTGTTCATTAACTCTGATACTGAGCTGAAGGTGATGAGGTTAGTTCAGTGTGTGTGTGTGTGTGTGTGTGTGTGTGTGTGTGTGTGTGTGTGCGTGCGTGCGTCTTTTCGGTGTGCATTAATTACCTAAAAAATGCAATGATTATCGACAATATATCAAATGAACACACACACACACACACACACACACACACACACACACACACACACACACACACACCGTTGATTGGAAAATTGAACGTAATAAAATTTAATGAGAACTTTCCTTCGGCCAAATTTGTGATTATCTATGACGCAAAAATTTGTTCGCCCAATCGATTTTTTTTCTATACATCCAACATTTTCTTAATAAATACTAGGTTAGGTTAGGTTAGGTTAGGTTAGGTTAGGTTAGGTTAGTTTTCCACATTTTTACTGTTGGATTGCTTATAAAATTTCCTCACGACTGTAATATGGAGCGTTAATAGTCAGAATAAAACACTGCATCATATTAGCTCATTTATTATTTACAGAGAGAGAGAGAGAGAGAGAGAGAGAGAGAGAGAGAGACCGATTTTTCTCCGTCTCTTTTTACGACTTTAACTAACTTTTCAGGACAATTTTTCCATAATCCAGGAAATATTAACTTTCAAATGCTAATCACATCAACATTAATTCCTTCTGAGATATATTTTTCGTTTCTTTAAGAAATGACACAAATTCAGATTAAAATATATGCAAAAGAAAATAGAGAAACGAAGAGGAATTTACATATCATAAGTTCATACTTCGACTTTTATCACATTCTAGCAATTATAAAAAACACGAGACATTACTTCACAAACATATATGTCATTATATAATAACTTCAATTGATATATATTGAATCAGGTTGAATTACACGCTGATAGTTACAATGAAGCGAGAACACTAGTCAGATTACTAACACAATATTGAATTTAATTAATTCTGGTGAGCGCTGGCCTGCTTTAGTACTCGGGTGATTCAATACGAGTACGTGGCATCGTACTCAAGTGTGTGAAGTGTCGTATGAGTACATAAAGTGACTCACAGGTTTAGTACTGAAGAAACTTGATTTAATGTACTTGTTTTTTATTTAAGGTAAAACAAAACTAAAACACAATATTGATTTAGTGTGACCGTAACTGCGTGTATGGTATTTTGGAGTTACTTGTATCAGGAATTAGAGGAAAGACAACATTGTGTAAATTCATATGCGAATAATATCTCACAAAACCAAGAATAGTTTTCGCCAGATTAAGAATTTCTTTCCCTGAACTAACTGTGAAAAGGCCATCTGAGTTATTTAAAAATACTCTATGTTTGGTTTTTCATAATTAGACGAATAAAAGAAAATGTGGATTTTTTTTTGTTCGTTTTTCCTATTAATGTCGACATAAGTCACGTGTATTAAGTAGTTGACTCTGTGAATTCTAATTGGTTGTTTATTTTTTCCTCGAGTTGTCACAATGTTTTTTTTTTTTTTAGGAAAGAGTTTTGTCAGATGTTTTCTCATTAATTCACACAATCTACTGGAGCATTACCTGTAGCTTCCATTACACACACACACACACACACACACACACACACACACACACACACACACACACACACACACACACACACACACACACACACACACACACACACACACACACACACACACACACACACACACTCGACCCACCAACAACACTCAGTAGTAACTCAACACAAACAGGAATACAGCTAAAGTAATTCTTGCAATGTGGGATTCTCTCTCTTTTAGTCCACTAATAAAACTTCTCGCTTATTTCATCATCATTATCTTCTTTAAGTGCAGCAGGAATAAACGAACGAAATATTTCACATTGAATTACGCGCTTCAAGATTAGTTCAGCTTTAAACTTTGCCGACATGTGAGCCAGCAGCCCAACCCACCAGTGAGAGTAGCTCGCGTTCCTTTACTCAGGATGTGATTGGCTGACAGCTTCGTGTAAGAGGGGAAACACCGACTTTCATCTTCGATAATAACATAATGACGTTATTATGAATGTCAATGATTCTTTCGTATTCTCGTTAATTCAGGAATGGACCGTGTTATAGATATCTTAAATGCTTTTATAGTTAACTATAAATTCTGATCAAGAAAGAGTAAGCAACTGCTGGCAACTGCATAGGTTGGCGGACGAGAGTGGAGATGAGAGGAAAGTGTTCAGTGTTTGGGTGGCGGTGTGTCGGGGTAGAGGTGTAGCGGGAGTCTGTAAGTGACCTCACTGGACACGCGCCAAGTGCAACCACTGCCACATATACTCACAGAAGAGTTAATAATCCATAGATATTTCTTCTACTACGGTGTTCAGTATTTGTTTATGAATATTACATGAAAAATTACTCACCATATTTACGATATATTAAAGTTATGAATTTACAAGAACTATCGGAAAAGTAAAATAAGTGGAATTGTGAATAAGTTACCAGAATTACTTGTCAAGGAAAGTCACACATTTACTTAGAAAGATTAAAAAGAAAATCCCGAAGGTGTTGAAAGCCTTGAGGAACCCTTCAGGAATTGAGAAACTCCCGAAGGAATGTGTTATTAAGGTTCCGGGGAGGCCTGACCAGCCTTCAAGATGCCGACTTTCCGCACACCATTAGGCTTAAGAGTCTGGTGGAGGGAAGAGTGTGACGATAATGTGTAGAAGGTGAGTGACGCTCTCTATGTACTGTAGTAATGGTACAATAACAAGGTGATACTCTTGATCAAAAGAGTCTATGGAGTTTTTACTTGGTTGAGTGAGTGATTGTCTAGGTATTGACTCTGTACGTAGGAAAAAAGTCATAGAAAACATGTCACAAACCAAACCTAACCTAACCTAACCAAACCTAACCAAACCTAACCTAACCTAACCTAACCTAACCAAACCTAACCTAACCTAACCTAACTATATCTGGATTCTTTAATTAATGTGTCTATTTCCTATGACTTATTTCCCTTGACAAAATAGTGACTTCTTTTTACGACTTTTTCCAATGATTTTTGTTTTCCTCTGGACACCGCCTCAGCTGCTCGGAGGATTACCAGAGTAACTCATTATATAAACAAATAACAAACAGCGTGTGATAATAAATACACAAACATAATTAGCGAATACACACACACACACACACACACACACACACACACACACACACACACACACACACACACACACACACACACATAGGAAGGTACAGTATACTTTCTTTGTGTATTTTTGATATGTATAAATAACTCAAAAATATACTAAATATACTGCAACTTACTCAGTATATTAAGAAGAATAAGTTACTTAAATATACACCTAAACTAAACTACAATAAGTGAAATTTCAATATATAAAGTGTATCTAGTATCGTCTTGTATCTCACTGAGTAACCAACAAACACTACAGTCACTCGTTAGTTTATATTCTACTCGTCACTCAACTCGCCTCCTCATCTCCCAGAATCAGCGTAACAAATAACTTCTCGATCTACTGAATGTGTCTTGGTAACATATGATCTACTCAGCGATCACTTGACTGGCCTCCTCCGCCTCGTAATGTCATCTTGTACTTTGCCGTCACATCTCTCCACGTCTTTCGCCTTTCTCATTTATACCGAGGTCTTATGTATGTTTTCCTATGCTTGTTTGAGTATTTGGTGTTTCTTTGTTATCTGGTATCTGTAATCATGTTTTATAGCTGAAATTAAAGACTGATATTGGGTGAGTCAAATATTTTTTTTTATTTAGGGGAATTTAATTTTTTTTTTAATATAATTTAATTTCCCAGCTTTGATACCTGTTTCTTCATTTACCTGGATTAGCTTTGAGTAATATAGACTATTTTTGTTATTGTTTATATGGTGGATTCAGGTTAATTCTAATTATCGGTCTTTTTAGCTAAAAATTATAAAATTATATTAGATTTATATTATTTTAGTTAATTTACTCGTGTTTGATGTGTGTTGAGTCTTTTTATAAATATGTACACCTACTATTACCTAAACCACTTCAGCCTAACTTAAACAACTTAAACTTTCCCTTAAGTTCTGCTGTAAAGAGTTTTGGAGAAATGATGCCACCTTGCTACACTACACTTTTAATTTAAACTTTTCCGCTATCTTCGAGCAAACTGATGGAAGAAGTATCATTCGTATATACATATCATTATCACTTTCATTATCGCTGTCAACATCAATTTATTTCTCAATTTCCTAAGTTTAATAAATTATTCATGGTTAACGGTGTACTTAACTGAATGTACTATGTATATTTTCAGTAAATGGTTCACTATTAATGTTCAATCACTTGTATTACTTGTTTGAAACTACTCTTGAACAATTGTTAGAAGATAATGATACGTTAATTACTTCTGTTGGTGATTGGAGTAAATTGTTTTAAAGTTTGACAGTAAATATTTTAATGAAGGTTTTACATGTTAATGGGTGGAGACTACATACTATTAGTGTCGGTTTATTTGCCAGTACAATATATCACTTCGTTTAATCACATCTATCCTTCACTCTCACTTAACTTCATAAAATCTCACAACATCAATTTAATCAACAACTTTTCACTATAAGAACCAACCGAGAGTTAATGAACTTACATGTCTTAACACTGAGGTAATTTACGTTGCTAAAACCAAGATACATTTAGAGCGTCTTCATTTGGCAGCACTTGGCCAGTTCCTTCCCAAGAGGCCATTTAATTAACCAACTTATCTGGGGGTGAAAGTCTTGGGTGAGGATAGCTGCCCTGGCAACACACCCTGTGACTTAACATTTAAAAGATATATACAGGTCATATAATAGCTAAACTAAAACTAATTTCTTTGTTTTTGTTGTTATCTATATTGCTAAGACTACAGAAAACATTAATTAAAATGACAAAATAATTAATCTCCTTGGAGTAACCTTTTGGGAATATATAATTGTTAAATAGATAAACGTTTGATACAGACTGCAACAGTGATATAGTGTCCAAGAGTACGTATGATCCCTCGTATTGTCCCGTTTGTTTCTGTCACTGGTGAGTCGTGTTGAGTAAGGTACATGTTAACTCATCTTCTGAGAGTTATTGTTCACCTGTTTTGTCTTCCCCTGGAGATATATTACCAGTTTTTTTATCGTAATACTTAAGTAAAATTTTTATTCTCTTTTGTACGGGGTGAAGGGTGGGTGCGGGTGGGTGGTGGTGGGTGTGGGGTGGGGTGGTGGGGTGGTGGGGTGGGTGTGGTGGGTGGGTGGGTGGTGGTGGGGTGGGTGGAGGTGGGTGGGTGGGTGAAAAGGGTGGGGTATGACGGGGATTACTCGGCTGTGATTGGTGGAAGTGACGCGTGATTTGGATAATTACATCATTGTTTCGTCACGCGGTGGCTGTTAGTAAACAATCTTCTCTATTCTATAAGCAGCTCAGGAGTTCGAGTCCAACTTGATACAAATAACTCCTCTGTCCTCGAATAGGTCAAGAGGTCAAAGGTGATATCGAATTAAAACCTTGAGTATGTTGGGTTAATCCCTGAAATATGTTGGCTTAACCCCGTGAGCACTACTGTATATCATTGAATTAAATAAAATGATTCATCGTATTGAAAGAGTCACCTAACCTAACCTAACCTAACCTAACTTTAGTTTTACTTTCGGTACATAAGGGAGAATTATGGCAGGTATAGGCGCCCCAAACAGCTTTCACCCCCCCTCCCCCCCTCTGTCTTTAAAGTTAAGTGTCCATTCACGGCTGGGTGGAGTGAGGGGGACAGTTGGTGACCTTTTTGGAAGGGTAAGGCAATGTATCCACTCTACCGTAGCACTCCATTAACAAGGACGGGTAGAGAGGGGAGGGGGGGAGGAGAGAGACAGAGACAGACAGACAGACAGACAGATAGACAGACATAAGGTAGAAACACATTAGTCAGAATAAGTCTAGCAATATGTGAGCCAAACGTGTGGTCAATTTATACACATGATGCTGTACAAAATATGAGAGATAAACTATAACAAACTTGTAATATGTTGTATCAGTTTAGGTATACAAGGACATACCAACACTATCGCCTTTATAGTGGATATCAACAAGGCCGAGAATATCAGGTTACATCCACATTACAAAATCAAGTTCCAGAAAGTTAATGATATTTTTTTTTATCCCAGTTGAGCATTGTGTCTGATGATGTTATTCTGTGCTAATTATAAGAGAACTATAAAAACTATACAAAAAATAGTTAAAATACAAAATAAAATGACAACATCTAGGGTATTATAGTTAAACTCATAACTAACATCCATAAACATAATAAACCAAAACTAAATAAAAATAAACCAAAACTATATAGAAATAAACCCAAAATATATAAAATAAACCCAAACTATATAAACATAAACCCAAAATATATAAAATAAACGCAAACTATATAAAAATAAACCCAAACTATATAAAAATAAACCCAAAATATATAAAATAAACCCAAACTATATAAAAATAAACCCAAAATATATAAAAATAAACCCAAACTATATAAAAATAAACCCATAATACACGTCTTTAAAACACAAGAATAACGATGCCCATTAGTGTTATCTTTAACAGTGTGAGTACAAGAGGGAGAACACACACACACACGGAACACACACACGGAACACACACACGGAACACACACACGGAACACACACACGGAACACACACAAGGAACACACACACATGAAGATAAAGACTGTCACCTCCTCCTTGTACTCGTGAAGGAGAAGACCAACTCCCTCTGGTATTCAACGACCCAGTTCAGGATGTTGATGACCTCGGAAATGTGTGTTGGGTCATGGTACTTTATCTTTTCTTTATTTAGTTTATTATTTTATATATTATTCATGCTAGTATGTATAATATGCATCACATACATACATACATACATACATACATACATACATACATACATACATACATGCAAGCTCCAGGTACCCAAATTACTGTGGAATTAATTAATGACAAGCACACTGGGCCGAACTCTCTATTAGTTAGGTGAATTACCATTAAACAGATCACCTACACAGTCACATGAGTTGGGTTCACGAGTAGCCAAAGGTTGACACACACACACACACACACACACACACACACACACACTGAATGTGTGTGTGTGTGTGTGTGTGTGTGTGCTGATAAGTGGTGTAGGGAAAGATATAAACAAAACACATTTATTAGGAAGGGGAGAGAGAGAGAGAGAGAGAGAGAGAGAGAGAGAGAGAGAGAGAGAGAGAGAGAGAGAGAGAGAGAGAGAGAGAGAGAGAGAGAGAGAGAGAGAGAGAGAGAGAGAGAGAGAGAGAGAGATTATAAAACTCATAATTATCTCCCACACTTCTCTCAGCCTCAAGTCTCTCAAAGGCTCAAAGGCTAAATTTTTCTCTCAACTGGCTACATAAGAACTCAACTAAGTAGCTGCCTTAAGTAACAACACAAACCTGGCAGTAGAAAGTTACTTAGACTTTATACCTAAGACTTAATGTAACCCTGAATTATGTTCTCTTAAGTGAGGAAATAAGTACAACTCTTTGAATATATCACTTATTTCACCTAATGATTAAACAATTTATTGCTAACCAAATCTAACCACGTCTAACCACGTCTAACCAAACCTAACCAAATCTAACCAAATCTAACCAAATCTAACCAAACCTAACCAAATCT